AACGATAGACAGCCGTGTGAATCCTTTAGAAATTGTTTGTTGTGGTGTTGATTACCTGTTCGTTGACTGTTGCCCTCTATGTAGAAGCATGCAGTCCAACATATTAGATCACTGGTTACCTGGTCGAGATAAGAGAACGATCATCCCTGTGAGATAGAATTGCCTGACTAAATAAAAGAGAACACGTATGGAGGTTCAGTTTCAACAGCATGGATCTTAATTTAAAACATAATTCACATGTTTCTAAATAGGTAAAAAACATATAGGAGGCATAATTGTAAATTAAAGCAAAACTAAAAAAACATACAGAATGCTACATCACATTCATCAGAGCAGAAATGAGTTCGGTATTTAGACATACCCAAAAGACAGTGACCTCTGCTCTTGTAGGTACATGATGAGCAATGGCATATGCTTGTATATGTTTTGAAAAGGTTCACAATAGTAACAGAAAGCTTTGAGACATGGTTAGGTTTTTCTTTTGCAGAACACAAACTGTATGTGTAAGTAAAAATAATATATACATACAGAAAGTGAAATCAAGAGATTAGAGACATGAGGTGGCAAATGAGTTAAAGGGGATTTTAGGGTACCGTACCAAGTCCAAGGGAGGTCAAGGAGGAAGAAATAGAGCAGAGGATGGCCGCCGCTGCTGTCGCCGGCGAGCGTCTCGATGCGGGAGCAGGGCACCACCCGCCGGGCGGGTCAGTGTTGTGCTGCCCCGACCTGTAGCACGGACAGCTAGGGTTTCCTGGAGCACAGTAGCACACGCGGATCAGAGGGAGGAGACAGCGTCGGGGGAGGGGGGGGAAGCGACGCCGGCGGGCACTAGGGGGGGGGTCGCGCCGGGTTGTGGCCGGGGACGACCATCGCCGGTGGCCACGGGCGGAGCCACGCCGCAGGCCGGGAGCGCTGTCACGCCCCGACCGCGCCTGGCGCCGTGAGCCGCGATGCTGGGCCGGAAGGCATGCGGGGGTGGAGAGGAGGAGGAGGAGGAGGGCTACAGCCGCCGCGTCAGCCGTCGTTGCTGTGTCCGTGTCGGGCGTCCGCGTGGGGGCTAGGAGCGACGGGGTGAGAGATGAGAGGAGGAGCTGATATATTCTGAGAAGTTTCAAGAAGGAGAAGTAGAAGCTGGATATATATTTGGTTGCCTGGCTTCGGACGAGAAGCAGGAGAGTCCAATGAGAAGCAGGTGAGAAGCTAGATAAGGTAAGGAGAATCACGAGAAGTCGCTTTCGGTAAAATTTGCTTTACGAAATCTGGGTCGTCGGATGGAAAGATCGAACGGCTAACAAAATTTAAGGTGACGTGGACAGGCTAGGAGACGGCCCAAGCAAACTGCCTTAATATATTAGAACACCCTAGAATTACGTACGTACGTACCTAGATGATTAGAAACTTGGAGTAGGAAGGGGTTTCTGCAGGTGCCTGTTTGCTGCTCTCCAGCTAGGCCATTTTCTTGGATTGGGCATGTGAGGAGAAGTGGAGAACAGACGAAGCTTGCAGCTAGCCTGCAGGTCTATGATCATTTTCATACTGATTACACAGTTTGCGCTGTCTGGCCAAATTATGGGGTCAATGATTGGTATTTGATGCATGTGTTCAGCATGTTAGCTTCGAGGTTCAAAAGTTTAAATTTAGAAGAGATAGAGTTTTTGTATAACACTCTTTTATATACTCCCTCCGTTACATTTTTGTAAGCGCGGTTTCAACCGTCCAAGTTCATATCTTCGCAACAATTATAGCTAGTTTAATAATAATAATAATTACACGCCACAAACATGCTACTAAAAACGAGATCTAACATAGGAAGAACAAGGTGGTTTTTCATTAATACAAGAAAATAGACACCTAAATTCAAGCCAATAGGGGACTTGAACCTAGATGGTTGGATGTGTGACCCTACTTCCCACCCAATTAGTTAAGGTAGGCTCACCTCCTACAAACATACTATTAGTACAATACTCATGAAAAGAAGTACTAATGATCATGATCTTTTTTGCTATTCATTCAATGTTCACAGGAAACTAGATTATAGATCCATTTTTGCATACCATCAACGGAGTTTGAGGGGTGTTAAGTATTACTCCCCCCATTTCTTCGCTACTACAAAAAGGATGCCGAAAGACAACCTCTAGATTAATGGAGCCAGACATCAGGAGTGCCATCTATAAAAATGGCAACATGCATGCCCTACAGAAGTCGTCTGCCTTTGTTAATATACTATTATCTGAGATAATCATACGGGGGCATAAGTTGACAGATGTTCACACGGATCTAGGGACCTTGAGGGCATGAACACACCAAATTGTGATGGGAGGTTGCAACATATATCGACAATTGCATGTTAGTGTACCAAGAAAGGGAATGTATATTTGCCCTTGCTGCTTTCAAGTAAGTCTAGTTCGACCAACCTATAATCACATTTTTCATATTTCATATTTCAACCAACATCTACAAATGCTCGCGAGTTCAGTGCTCGTGTCGTGGCCCCTTGAGCTCGCACTCGCACCGAGCACTATGCAGGCTTGCCTATCGGAGAAGAGAGAGGATGGGGAAAGAGAATGTGAGAGAAGTGATAAATTAAAATTTGTTTTAGCCCCACAAATTGAAACAATCGGATGGGTTCTATGCAAATTTTCTGATGTAGGATAATGGTAGCTATGGAAACTGCTCGATTTAAGATTGACATCGCCCTTAGGATAAAGATACATGAAGTTCATTTTGATGTTTTAGCCCCACAACTTTGTTGACCAGCCATTATCTGACATCCTCTCTCTCCATTCTCACTCTCCCATCTCACTCTCGATGTTTTAGCCCCATAACTTCTCTTCCCATCTAACCCTAGCGGTGGCGGCGGGACGAGGTGGCATTCATATGCCCTGTTCGCTTGGCTGATAAGTCATGGCTGAAAGTACTGTTGGCTGATTTGTTGTGAGAGAAAAATACTGTTCGTTAGCTGAAAAAATACGGCTTATAAGCCAAACGAACAGGACGATAGTTTGGAGTTGGCTCACAGCCCCGTTAAAAACTTAGGGCTTGTTTAGTTCATTAGGATCGATGCCTTGGAACTATTATCAATTAGAATGATTGAGTAGTTTGTATTAAAATTCATCAGCTGGATTAGTTCCGGACTCCGTTGCAGAATAACCGAACGTCCCCTTACCGTGCACCGGCCGTGCACGAGTGGTTTCGTGAGGGAGGCGCACGCAGCAGCGCAGACGCAGCACGGCACCGTTGCCTACGTCGCTTCCGTCCCGTCCCGTCCAACGCCGCGCGCGTGGCGTGCGGGAGCCGCAGTAAACAGTTCCGCATCGGCGTGTGTTGAGGACAAGGCAGGCGCAGCCGCGGTGCACGTTGACTCGGGAAGTCCACGAGGAGCGGCACGGGCCCGGGCGCGCCGTACGGAGACTCGGAGAGGGAGATGAGTGACTGACGCGCCGTTGCTCGTGCTCTCACCGAGCCCTCCTTATCCGTGGGGCTGATACAATCCAAAGGAGATATCTTTCGTTGTACTGCATCACAGCATTAGTGCATCTGAAGCTAGCAAGTGTACCTGTAGTACTATCTTGTATCTGGGGAATCAAGGCAGCACTCAGCTCATGGTTAATCGCGACGCGTCCCGTTACCGAGTCATCTTGCCGCAACCGCAACGCATAATTTCAGTTGGTCAAATGCTCAAAGCCTTCCATCACAGTTGCGAGATGACGGTCTTGCCCTCGCCCTCGTCCATGTCGCATCTGCAACGCCGAGTGGCATGTGGCCTTGTCCGCCTTCTTAACCCTACCAACAGCTCGGTAGCTGTACCTGTATGTATGCCGCAGGTAGAGGCATCCTTTTCTAAACTCTGTAGCTTCGACATACCGACACGCATACTCCAACCAAATAGATGTAACCGGTACCGGCCAGACAAACGAAACGAACTCGCCACGCCTGTGAGCGCGATCGATCGACAACCTGCACGGCTGCATTCGCCACGCCCGTTCCGTGCGCCGCTAGAGCACGCTCACGCTTTCGCCGTGGCGCGGCCCGTGTGACTCGCCGCACGCGTCGCTCTCGCTGCTCCTCGCACCGGCACGAGCCAACAAAACCGCCCGTCGCGGTCCGCCCTCCTCGGCGCGGCACGGGCCCGACACGACCGCACAGGCGCCCGGCACTAGCCCACACCCGTCGCCATCGTCGTCGGTTCGTCGCGGCACCACGCGCGTCCTCCCGGTCCCGGGCCCCGCCGGCGGCCGCCTAGTCGGCAGCCTCCGTTCCCGTCCGCCAGCGCGTGTACGTGGGGCGGAAGCTACAGGCCACGGCGCCACTAGCCGGTATATTTTTTTAACCACCGGAGGCCGCCGCTGCCGCCTGCCGCTGCGCGCGGCACGCCAGCGCCCACGAGCTAGTCCTGCTTGCTTCCCCCCTCGCGCGCGTCGCGGCCATTTCTTTACTCCAGCCGCGGCACAGCGCCAGCCCCGCCCCGCCCCACCACCCGGTTCCGCGCCCCGCGGCCCTCGTCCCGTCCCCATTTTTTAAACCCCGCTTGTCTCCCTCCTCCGCCTTCTCTCCCCTCTCCCCGTTGCTTCCCAGTCCCAACTCGCGCAGCACCCCCCGTCCCACGCTCGCGAGCTCGACCGACCACCTCGGCGCCTCGGCCGACGGCGTGTGGAGCCCGGAGTAACGCGCGGGGCTGGCTCGGGAGAGGCGGCGGAAGCTTCAGAGAGCGCCTGACTTTAGGCGCCGTGGATGAGCTGGCGCCTCGGCACGGCGGCTGGTGTGCTGTGCTGGTGCGCGGCGAAGATTCATTGGCCGGATTCTCACAGCGCCTGAGTTTAGGCCTTGCTCCTCCGCTGATCCGAGTTTGATACCCCGAATTGCCTCGCGCGCCCTCACTTTCGTCGGGAAGCAGGGCGTCAGCTACTAGCAGTTCGTAAAAGGTGGTGGTGGTGGTAGGAGAAGGTGGGGGTGAATATTCGCGTATCCGGACACGGGACTTGGTTCAGGATCTCGGCGAGATGAAGGATCAGGGATCGGGCGGCGTCACTCCCAGCCCCGCAGAAGGTGAGGACTTCCTTGCTTGCAGTCCAATTTCTCATGGATTTCAGCGCCACCTTTACATTTCTCAACTCAGCATCTTGTGATCTTGTCATGATTCATGATCGTCGCCGTTGAGCTGCCCACCTATCTGTAATCGCAGTTACTTCTTGTTGTCGCTTGTGGTTAACTGCGAGGAAATTGATTCGTGAATCTTCTTTACTTGATCTGGGATGCAGTGTAATAATTGGCTCCTTTTTTATTTGAAAAACCAGGGGAAAAGAAACCCATCAACACGGAGCTGTGGCATGCTTGTGCCGGGCCCCTGGTGTCGTTGCCCCCGGTGGGTAGTCTCGTCGTGTACTTCCCGCAGGGCCATAGTGAACAGGTGCAGGATTTATCAGTGCGCAGGGCCATAGTGAACATGAGTTGATTCAGGAAATATATTTTCTGAAAATTTTCCTGTTCTGGTAATTCTGTATCAGGTTGCTGCTTCAATGCATAAAGAGCTGGACACCATCCCCAGCTACCCATCTCTGCCTTCTAAGTTGATCTGCAAGCTCCTAAGTCTCACCTTACATGTATGTCAATGCTAGTTTTATCCTCTTGTGCTGCATCTTCTTTTTTAACCACCCTACCCGGTTCTTCCAGACAGCCTGGGAAGTGCCAATTTTGGCCATTAATTGGGCACACGAAACATATTTCTTGTGCAGGCAGATTCTGAAACCGATGAAGTTTATGCCCAGATGACGCTTCAGCCTGTGAACAAAGTATGTGAGCATTCTTTTTGAGAAAGCTATTTTCGTTGTAGATTTCTTAAGTGGAAATGAACTATTTTTTTCTCTCAACACAACTAGTATGATCGAGACGCAATGCTGGCATCTGAACTGGGTCTGAAGCAAAACAAACAACCAACAGAATTCTTTTGCAAGACGTTGACAGCAAGCGACACAAGTACGCATGGGGGATTCTCAGTGCCACGCCGTGCAGCTGAGAAGATATTTCCACCGCTAGTATGCAATATTTCTGCATAACATTGGAATAACTTTAATGGATCTATGAATTTATCAGATGCAATAAATACCTCCCTTACCAGGGTAACATGTTCGATAGGACTTTACGATGCAACCACCAGCCCAAGAACTCATTGCCAAGGATCTGCATGATATTTCATGGAAATTTCGACATGTCTACCGAGGTACTGAAAATTGCCAAGCACTGAAATAATACATGTATATTAACTTTGTACTGTATATGGATGTGAATTGTTTTTTTTTTCTGAATACGGATGTGAATTGTTATGCAGCCTGGTTCGCTGCTGGAAATTTTTTGGGTACATTATTTATGTTTGGCCTTTAGCAGCTATTAGAATTCCAATTTTTCATGAAACTTTTAAGGAAATCTGTACTAGGACATGATGTCTGATAACAGAGGTGTTCTGTACTTATCACTCTACTGTACCTGCACATGCAGGTCAACCGAAGAGGCATCTTTTGACAACTGGTTGGAGTGTCTTCGTCAGTACAAAAAGGCTGTTAGCTGGTGATTCAGTTCTCTTTATAAGGTAATATCATCAATTCCAGTCATTAAAAACTATGTGTGTATCTAGATAGTTACAGAAAACATTGATCTTACACATTTTTTCCAGGGATGAGAAATCTCAGCTTCTCTTAGGTATAAGGCGTGCTAGCAGACCCCAACCAGCTCTGTCATCATCAGTTTTATCAAGTGACAGCATGCACATTGGAATCCTGGCAGCAGCAGCCCATGCTGCTGCAAATAGTAGCCCATTTACTATTTTCTATAACCCAAGGTATTTTAGTTGCTAATTGTACCTTATTGAAACTTTCAGCCAGTACTTAGGCTAATGAATCATACTATTCTTCGGATAGGGCAAGCCCATCGGAATTTGTCATCCCTTTAGCAAAATACAATAAAGCTCTGTATACACAAGTGTCCCTTGGAATGCGATTCAGAATGCTCTTTGAGACAGAGGATTCAGGGGTAAGAAGGTACATGGGCACGATCACAGGCATTGGCGACTTAGATCCACTGCGGTGGAAGAATTCTCATTGGCGAAACCTTCAGGTATGTCATTCATCTTCTTTTTCAGGTTAATCTGCAGTGATATCCATTTAATTCATCTACATCCAGTAAGAAATTAGCTGGGTCAAGAAGTGAAGCTGGAGTTACACGAGTCAACCCTGATATATGGATTTTATATAAGATTTACCTAACACCATATGGAAATGAGTTTCAAAGACTGTAGCATAAAAGGATGGCAGATTCATCTGACTTCATCTGTCTTTTCCACTTCAGGTTGGTTGGGATGAATCAACTGCATCTGAGAGGCGCACACGTGTTTCGATATGGGAGATTGAACCAGTTGCTACACCATTTTATATATGCCCACCACCATTTTTCAGGCCAAAGCTTCCTAAGCAGCCAGGAATGCCAGGTACAAATAATATTATGGTATCTACCATACAAGAAATAATTTTCTCAAACACACAGGGAGCTGCATATCATTGCATTAATAGAAGAGAGTTACAACACATGCACGCACCCCCACCCCCACCCTTCAGATGAAAGGATTACATACATGCCTGTAAAAAAAATGACCATATAGGAAATAATGCAATACACAACTTGGCCTTATTATCTTTTTTTACTTCTGTTTTTCATGCATTTGTTAAACCGATTGATTATCATGTGGCCCTGAATACTTAAGTTGGCAAAATTTTATTTCGTGAACTTAGTTCTTACTCTTTCTTGTCTATAACCTTGATACATAAACTACCAGCAAGAAGTGTTGGTTGCTTGTTGAAAATCACAAATAAGTTGCACAGGACATGGAGGATCCCTTTCCTAAATGTCATTGCTTCTTGTTTATGTATAAATTAGACTTTTAACTATGAGCAGGAATACTGGCCTACTTGTTTGTCATCCTTGTGTTTGAGTCATTTCTTCATCAACAATTCAACATTCATGCATCTATTTTTTGAAGATATACTTTGCCCTTCTGTAAAATGAATCTTGCAGATGATGAAAACGAGGTTGAGAGTGCTTTCAAAAGAGCGATGCCATGGCTTGCTGATGACTTTGCTCTGAAAGATGTCCAAAATGCATTATTTCCAGGCCTGAGCCTAGTTCAGTGGATGGCTATGCAGCAAAATCCTCAGATGCTAGCAACTGCTGCCCCTGATGTACAGTCGCAGTACTTGACCTCTAATGCACTGGGTATGCAGGATGGGATAGGCAGTGCCAGTGAAGATCCAACAAAAAGATTGAGTATGCAGGCCCAAAATATTGGCTTACCTAATTTACAGGCTGGTTCCAAAGTGGACCACCCTGCAATTACCTCATTAGCTCAACACCAGCAGCAGCCTCACCATGTATTGCAACAACAGCAGGTCCAACCACTGCAGCAAAGTTCTGCGATTCTGCAGCAACAGCAAGCCCAGCTGTTGCAGCAAAATGCCATTCACTTGCAGCAGCAGCAAGAACAACTCCAACGGCAACAATCACAGCCACAGCAACAGTTGAAAGCTACTGCATGTCTTCAGTCATCGGACCAGCACAAGCTGAAAGAGCAACAGCCTTCAGGTGGACAAGCTGTCTCACAAGCACAATTGTTAAACCAGATTTTGCAACCATCTTCACCTCAGCTACAACAGTTGGGTTTACCCAAGTCACCTACCCAGCGCTCAGGGTTACCAGGTCTAACAACGATGGGTTCTTTGCAGCAATCACAATTAACTCAGACTCCACAGCTGCAACAAACAGCAGAATACCAGCAGGCACTCCTACAAAGTCAACAACCCCAACTACAACAACTATCACAATCAGAACTGCAGCTGCAGCTGCTTCAAAAGATTCAACAACAAAATCTGCTATCTCAACTGAACCCACAGCATCAGTCCCAGCTGATCCAACAATTGTCTCAGAAAAGCCAGGAAATTCTCCAGCAACAAGTTCTTCAACATCAGTTGGGTGGTCCTGATGCCATGGGCCAGCTCAAACATTTGCAGCAAACACCTTTGAACCATACGACGGGATCCCTGACACCCCAGCAACTTGTAAGATCACACTCAGCACTCGCTGAGAGCGAAGAACCATCCAGCTCAACAGCTCCATCTGGCAGCCGTATCTCCCCAATAAATTCATTGAGTAGAGCACACCAAGGAAGCAGAAATTTGCCTGAGATGCCAGCAACACCGCACATTGAGCACTTACTTCAGGAAATTCAAAGTAAGTCAGATAATCGAATCAAGAATGATATACAAGGTAGTAAAGAAACGGTCCATGCACCTAATCGTCATCTAGCTTCAGATCAACTTGATGCGTCATCTGCTACCTCCTTTTGTTTAGACGAGAGCCCACGAGAAGGCTTTTCCTTTCCTCCAGTTTGTTTGGATAACAATGTTCAAGTTGATCCAAGAGAGAATTTTCTTATTGCGGAAAATGTGGATACATTAATGCCCGACGCCCTGTTGTCAAGAGGGATGTCGTCTGGAAAGGGTATATGCAATCTGCCTTCTGGACAAAGGGATCATAGGGATGTGGAGAACGAGCTATCCTCTGCTGCATTCAGCTCACAGTCATTTGGTGTGCCTGACATGTCTTTCAAGCCTGGATGTTCAAGTGATGTTGCTGTTGCTGATGGTGGAATGGCAAGCCAAGGTTTGTGGAATAGTCAAACACAACGGATGAGAACCTTCACCAAGGTTGGTTACTTGGTAACACTTACCTAAGAATGCATTTATTATGCATACCTGTATGTGTCAATATGTGCACGCTCTCAAAACCGTGAAGTACTCTAATATTCTCTTAGTAGTACATCTAGTGGAGTCATAAAAGCTTACCTTCATGAGAAAACCTTGTCTTCACCAACTAATAAATAGGTGTGGATATCAGTGTAGTATTAGCGTTGAAGTATAAGTGAACTGTCCACCCTTCTCCATCGTTAAGCTTTTAGGTTAAACTGATTGGCTCATGCAATTCAATATGGTTCCACAGGGTCAAAGGTCTAAACCTTTTGTGCATGATACTCAATATGGCATTAGTGCTAAAGGTCTCAAATTCCAATCCTGGCTAGCACAATAAATAAAATAATTGTTGCCCACTCCTATTTCACATATGAGGCCGGAGCGAGCCTCCATTTGAGGGGTAGTGTTGAAGCATATGTGAATTCTCCACCACTCATCGTCAGCGTAAGCTTTTGGGTTGAACTGATTAGTACATGCAAATGAGTAGTTGAATACTTAGTGTTTATAAAGTCGTTTGGATGGCACTGAGGAACATATATATTTGCGTGCCACCTTGGAGTTACCATTCCAGCGTTGCATAAATGGGATAAATTGTGACCTGATGTAGGGTGCATATAGCTCTAAGCTGGACGATGAATTATTATTTACTCCCATACATATAACATTGGTGAGAGTTTTGAAGTGTGTATACTAAAGTTTGTGATAGCATTACCACTCTACAACCCTGCTTCAGTCTTGGGCTGAATACTCTGCTCATTATATTTACTCAATTACTCAATTGTTACTATGTGCCAAACTGATACCCAGTGGTGCAATTATCCAATAATAGTGCAATCATATGTACACTCATCTTGATTTGAAGGTTCAAAAGCGTGGATCTGTTGGGAGATCAATTGATATAACACGATACCGAGGTTATGAAGATCTTCGGCATGATCTTGCATGCATGTTTGGTATTCAAGGGCAACTTGAAGACCCCTACAGAACGGATTGGAAGCTGGTCTATGTTGATCATGAAAATGACATCCTCCTTGTCGGGGATGACCCCTGGGAGTAAGTTCCTACTTCTGTTTCCTTCGTCTCTTTGGTACATCCTTACCATGGTGTTTCCTTAACCTGTTCCATTTCTGATGATTTGAAAATCCCGACCTGCAGGGAGTTTGTAAGCTGTGTCAAGAGCATTAAAATATTATCATCTGCTGAAGTACAGCAAATGAGCTTGGATGGTGACCTTGGTTGCATCCCTCCTCAAACTCAAGCCTGTAGTGCTTCTGATGACGCAAATGCATGGAGGGCCTGACGTAAATACTAATATGCTTCTTACCATTTTTTAAATGATACCGAGAGTCAGGGTTAAAGAAGTGAAATACACGTCTAACTAATTACGAGGTATAACTTAGAGCCAACTCACTGACAGAATCGATGAAAAACTTGTGGCAGAAGTTGGTCAGCAAGCTGCCATATTTTACAGGTCTTGACGGCAGACGCTTTGTTCCACTGAAATCGGGTAATTACTCAACATAATCAAATTAGTTTCTTTTTTTGTGTGTATGTTGGGTGGGTGGGGGCGGGGGATATAAGACTTCTTTGAAGTTGAGAAGCTACTCTGCTTTTTGGGACCTACGTTCATTGTAATCCGATAGAAATTTATTTCATTATCTCAGTGTATATATGTGCTGTATCACTGTAATTGTTGGTTTTCCAACTCGCAATCCCATTGTAATTGTTCCAGTGTGCTACTTTCACCACTGAAGTACTAGTAGAAAATTAGAAATTGTATTGACTACCTGTAACAGAATTTAATTCAGTATCGGATATAGCACAGTCTTGTTAATTTTTTTTGCAGTTTAGATGGGTTCGTAATAACGCTTGAAAATGTCTGCTATTGAACCATATTTACACTCCGTAGTTACGTAGGCAGAAATGCAGAGCTATCGTGCATTCTGGGTGGGATATGTTTTCAATCGCAGCCTCTGTTTGTCGAGCAGCTGTTTTGTCGCGGGAAAACCTATTACGATTACGACGGAGCCGTTGCGCGGGATACAGAGGACATGCAACCTACTGGGCTGATTTCATTCTTAGTGATGGCGCGAATCGATTGGGACGGTCCAATTCCAAACGGCCCACGTTAGGAACCAATACAAAAGAAAAAAGGAAAAACTTATTTATCTCTCTCAGGTATCATTGGTGAGGGAAGGGGATCAGGTGTCTCGTCTTTCTCTGAGGGAGAGTGGAGAGATGTTAGGAGATTGATAAAAGATTTTAAAAAGGAGATTGATAAAACATAGAAAAGGAGAATTAGAAAAAGAATCTAGAGCTTAATTTTTTGTTTTACGATATTTTTAGAGCATCTCCAATAGTTTTCAAAACAACAATCGGTAAATTGATGAGTTTTTCAAGTGGATAACAAGATGTTAGGAGCATATTTATAGCGCTTCCCAACAATTTCTAAAATCTCGCTCCTTAAAAAGAAGAAAATTTGCATAAAAAATAATCCTAAACTATCCCCAAATCACACATACTACTTTTATACTTTTTTTCTTTCTTATACATTTGCATTAGAAACCTTTTTTGGAACTTCTTATTAGCGCTTTCCACATCTAAAATCTCGCTCCTTAGAAAGAAGAAAATTTGCATAAAAAATAATCCTAAACTATCCCCAAATCACATTGGTCAATCATTATACATTAGAAACATTTTCCTACTTCTTATTCTTTTCCACATCATTCCTCGTCTACATTGGTCAATCGATACATTTCCGCACGATTAGGTCGATTTTAACAAGTGCGGAAAGATTGTGAGTTACATTGGAGAGCAATTTTCTTAATCTTACTAAAAAGTTAAGATTGAGAGTGCGTTTTGAAAACTCCTGGATGTCCTTAGGAAAAGATGATTGATTTTCTTAACCTGATAGCGTCTGGCCCATTTCAAACGCAGTCCCTAGGACGTTCTAGAACCATCCGGTTGCTACGCACCAGGCACGCAACACCAACCAAGCCAAGCGGTAGCCCCGCTCTGTACAGGCCGGTAGCCCGGTACAGTACCCCTCCGGAGCAGCTTACCCCGCCCAAATCCATCCAAACTCAGTCGAAACTCCCGTGCGCGAGCCCAAATCGGCGCAGGGTAATCAGGCGGCCGCGGCGCAGCGGACGCGCGCTGGCGTTGGGGATAAAAAGTGGGGGCTGGGCTTTAGCTCGACGCCGCTGCTCTACTCTCCTAGCATAGGGTTTATCTTCCCCGTCCTCTGCCCCCAGCTCGCTTCTCGCACACGGCAGCCGGATTCCGAAGCAGCCCCAGCCCCAGGCCCCAGCCATAAGGTACCACCCGCTGGGATTCTCGCTTGTTGGGTGTTGGATTTGGCCGGTTTAGGAGTGGGATTGGAGGTCAGTTTGACGTACTCCGATCCGATTCCGATTGGGGTCCCTCTTTTCTCGTTCTGTGGATCGGCGTGTCGATTGAGTTAGGTGTTTGGTACTGCAATAGGCGCGCTTGATTTAATTGAGTTATCTTATGTGCGTGGATCGAGTGGACTCTAATCTGCTCTAGGTGTGAATGTTGGGGGGATTGGTTGACTAATTCAGTTCATTTCAATTGAGATTTCGATGGTTGTGAGATTGCCCTCGATATTAGGTTGGTTTTTGACCAATTTAAGCTCAGTTGGTGTGTGTCTCGAATTGCAGCTTCTAATCGTTTAGAGAGCACACGAGAATGTCGTCGGTGCAGCTCTCTGGTGCTGGAGTCGCGGCTGTGGCCTTCACGAACAAGGGCCTAGTCTCTCAGCCTGCAGCGCTCCGGGTCTGCTCGCCGAGGCGCTCGGTCCGTAGCCTGGTCGTGAAGGCTGCCACCGTCGTCACCCCAAAGGTATTCAGCCGTAGTCCGTGGCTTTGGGTTGTACCGCGCGCCCAATTTTAGCCTGAATGCTCAGGATTCACTTCCAAGTGTTTTGTAGAATGTAGGTATGCTTGTGTGTAGCTTGCAGCATTTGAGTTTAATGTGATGTCATGTTATTACAGTACACTTCACTGAAGCCTCTGGGAGATAGGGTGCTTGTGAAGCTCGGTGCTGCCGAGGAGAAGACAGTTGGTGGCATCTTGCTTCCATCTACCGCGCAGACTAAACCGCAAGGAGGTGAGGTTGTTGCTGTTGGAGAGGGAAGGACCATTGGGGACAAGAAAGTAGCGGTTGATATAAAGGTAAATCATTGTTTCTGGTGGATTAGTAATTTTAATGTCTAATCCATATGCCTCTGTTATGAATTGCTGGTGGTAAATATAGATATGATTAGATTAGATGAGGTTCCATCCTTGTAGTCATAACTTAATTTAATGCGATGCGCCGACCCAGGATTTGAGGCTCACTAGTAGGCTTCATATTGCACAAACAAGAACACACTTTTGAATTGTAATGCTGAATTGTCAAGGGAATGGTTAAATTGAAAGTTAAAGGTGGTTCTTTGGAAAAAAAAAGTCATGTGATACCTATATAATCCTACTTTTCTTATTGTTACTAGATACTCTGTGCATCTGATAATTGTACTATAGAACTACTCTTTTCCTTCTAGCTAATTTGTTACATGTTGCTTAGATACAAGCCACACCTGTGAGATTGAGTTAGAGTAGTCATTGGAAGTGCAAAGCAGAAGATATATCTAATTCGTCACATGGTGTATGGGTACAGGCTGTATCTGCAACTGCAAGCTACTATAACTGAGTTTGAGTAGCCTTGAAACTCCCTTGCTAGACTGCTAGATTAGCAATCAAGTTAGCAACCCTCACATCAGCATTTTTGTAGCTAGTTATCCCTAGTTTGTCTCTAAATACATGGAGATGGATCCTCTCACAAGAAGCTCAAGTGAGTGTTACTAGCAAGGAAATTCAGGAGTTACTCTATCTCAATTGTGCTAACTTGGAGTTACAAAGTAATTTGTGTGCCCAAGCTTTTCAAAAGTTATATGGTCGGCACATAGGAATCCTCTAGATCTTTACAAAACATACTGTACACCTGAATTGGATGGATAGAACTGCACTGAGTTGTAGTTAGGCGAGGTTCTTTTTGATCGGAGTTAGGTGAGGTTCTCGTATCCACATCACATCAAGCTAGAACTTACCACAATCTTAGGAGCAAGCTACATTTTGGTTGTCCTACAAATGATGTCCAAAATACCCACTGAATATTGGACTTGTTAAGTGCGATAAAATGTTAACATGGGTAAAACACTTGGCCAAATTTAGTTCGGTACTTCGGTTGTTTTGGACTCCAGTCCATCCCAATATGGCACGTGGACCATGTGTTAGTACTACCAAGTTTGGGTTTGCCAAGCTTTCTTTCTATACTTTGGCTTGAGCCCTAATTTTTTGGCCATGCTCTGGATTGGGCAGCTCTAAAATTCTGTGTGTGTGTGGGTGGGGGATAAGGATGAGCTCATGCTAATCTGGTAACTGGTACTAGAGAAAGTGAATGAGTTTGGTGGAATAGAGTGTAGGTTGGCCCACAGGATCTGGTGCTTGATCCCAGGTTGGTCCAACCGAAAACATCCTTTCTCAAAAAGGACTAACAATTTTTCATTTGCATATTAAGAACCATTCATTGCGCCTTGGACAAATCGGATTATCTTCTGGAACTGGGGATGCACAACTCAAAACTATCTCTGCTGATTGATGCACAGAAAGAGCTTTGCATTCTGTTTTATTATAATTGCAACTGGCAAATTTGTATTAGTTCATGAATAGTGTTAATTGGGGCCAAGGGAAATGTCTCTAGTGCAGGCCTGAGCATAAATGGATATTTGGTTGCTTGCGAATTGAACTTCTAGTCGTACAAATATGTTCCTTCACCGTTATGCTCTGCTTTGTATTCAAGATATGGACTTGTGGTAACATAATGAGATTAGGATAAACCAAGCTCAGCCTATTCAGGAAATTTGTTTTACCAAACTTGCTTCCTGCAGTTTAGCTGGAGCTTTGACTGCTTTAGTATAACAATTACCTCTAATTTACTAGCAGACAGGTTAGATGATGTAATGCTGTCAACCTAGTTTTCATGTGTGTACTACTGCCTAAGTGCTTATTGTTTGGCACTCTTTCCTTCATTGCCCATGAAATGCTTGGCCTTAATGTGTATCCCTTTGTCTTTTAGACTGGAGCACAAGTAGTATACTCAAAGTATGCTGGGACTGAGGTCGAATTCAATGACTCAAAGCATCTTATTCTCAAAGAAGACGATATCATTGGTATTCTGGAGACAGATGATGTGAAGGATATGAAGCCTCTCAATGACCGTGTTCTCATCAAGGTATTCATACATTCTTTCTTGTTGCAACAATTGTCATAGATGTTTATATATTGGGTTGGTAAACTTTGAGTTTTGTGAGTTGTCTGTCTTGTTCTTATTATATTCTGCTCTTGTACAGCATGTATAAAGTTACATTTCTCGTGGCATGCCATGACAGGTTGCAGAAGCTGAAGACAAAACTCCTGGGGGTCTTATCCTCACTGAAACAACTAAAGAGAAGCCATCCATCGGAACGGTGAGTTCTTGCCACCAGCTTGCCTATAAGAATAATGTATTTCTCTTCTATGCTTGTGCTGAGTTGCAGCTTGCAGGATTCGATACCTCAAGATACATGTACAGAAGACAGCACTAGCAAAGTATTCACGGTCTGACCGTTAAAGATGATTGACATCAGAATACATGAGCTAAGCTCTGTTTCGTCGGTGCAGGTTGTAGCTGTTGGCCCGGGTCCTCTGGACGAGGAAGGCAAGAGGCAGCCACTGTTAGTGCATGCGGGCAGCACGGTACTGTACTCCAAGTATGCAGGGAGCGAGTTCAAGGGCGCTGATGGCACGGGCTACATCGTGTTGAGAGCATCGGATGTGATGGCTGTCCTGTCTTGAGCCGTTCGTTTCCAGCTCTTACCGTAGTTTGCAGCCTTCTTATCAGCCATACTTTTTCAGCGAAGAGCAGTGTTTTTCTCTGAAATCAGCGAACAGTACTTTTCAGCTTGTGTTTTCAGCGAAGTGAACATGACAAAATAGTTGTGAAGTGGTATGAAACGATCGCTTTGTGGTGGTCATCACAAAATGCTGATACTGTTCCGGACATTCGGATAGAATTTGTGTGCACACGAGTTACGGGCTACCTGTGTGATGAAACGATCGCTTTGTGGTGGTCATCACAAAATGCTGATACTGTTCCGGACATTCGGATAGAATTTGTGTGCACACGAGTTACGGGCTACCTGTGTTGGGGTTATAAACGTCAGCAAGTGAGAGCACTCAGTTATTTTTACAAAGGATATTCAGGGGTGATGAAGTCACCTTTCCTTGCTAAATTCTACTATTTCCTTCGATTCTGGACTTCTGTTCCGTACCCGTTTGACGAATTGATTGGCAATAGCCAACGAGATGAGGGTTTGAGATGATCTTGCGGCTTCTTGTTGCGGAACGTTTAGTGATAGTTGCAAGACTTGGTAATGAGCTCTGCTTTCCGGTAGCACTGGAAGACCTCTGCCCTCTTCTAGGACACTTTTGGGTCTTTTTATAGTCGCGGACTCGTCGCTATGAGTATCCAAACGGGTGGATTAAGCTTCAGTCAGTCCAACGACTCGGGTGGGTTATATACTTTAGTCTCAGTTCAACTTGTCTTTATCCAAATAACATATGCTTTCTCTGTAATCATGTATCCAAATAACATGCGACTCCGAAGATGTTTGGATCTTATAGGCTAATAATCCAAATAACATACAAGTCCGAAGTAAGGAGATGTTTGGATCTATAGGCTAATAAGGCCGTCTTAATGGGGTTCATGTCCTAATTTTCAGGATTTTCACGTATTGGGAACAACATAGATAATTTTATCCCCATGAAACTCATTCTATCCCACAAAACTTTTAAATCTCTTTTCATCTATACTAGTCATGTCAGCTTATTTAATATCTATGAAATTTCTATAAAATCTCCACTAAGATTGGCCTAACTAGTCTTAGTTTTAGATACCAAACATACATTAATTATAGGTTAGTATAAGAGCCAATAGGTTAAAGCATCTCCAAGACGTTAATTATAGGTTAATAAGAGCTAGTAAGTTAGAGTATCTCCAAGAGTTACGTTAGTTATGGGTTAATAAGAGCCAATAGGTTAGAGCATCTTCAAGAGTTCTAGATCCCATTCGTAATCTTAGTTTTTTTGGAGCCAGTAGGTTAGAGCATCTTCAAGAGTTTCTATATCCCATTCATAATCTTGGTTCTTTGGTAGGACCGAAAAAGGTTCTTTTCAACAACTTCCTATCACAACACCCTATCTTTCGACATGCAAAATGGTACAATAGCTTCCTATCTTTCGGCACTTGAAAAAACAATCAAGACGCGCAGAAATATACATGTGTGGTGGTGGTGGTGGTGTGTGTGTGTGTGTGGTGGTGGGGGGGGGCATGGAGTCGACATTTCCGAGACTTCTCCTGACATTTCTTCCTTCTTGTGCTCACCTCTTTGCCCTAGCCTCTTCATGACATGCTCTAACCAAGCTTGGAGGTCGCTGATCGCCCCTAGCCACAATCGGCCACCCGCAGCCACCACATGGCGGGCTATGGCCACCGTTGGCTTATCCCTGCCTCCTTGTGGCTAGCTGCGACCAGTTGGGGGTGGCTGCAGCCAGCTGGGAGGGTGTTGGGGTGACCGCGACATCTAGGGACAGGTAGAGTACCCCGCTGATCTAGAGGTGGAGGAAGAAGAATATGGAGAACAAGAATAAAGGATATGGTTCCCTATGTAAATGCACAAGAGAGAAAGAAAGTATAAAAGTGGCTGAGATGATGTTGAAATAGTCTAATGGTAGGAGAAAGCCAGTAAATATGCTCCCTACTATTTTTAGCGACTTGAAAAAGGAAAAACTTATTGATTTAGCAATTATTTTTTTGGGAACTATTGAAGATGCTCTAACTAGCCAATATACCCGTGTGCTGCATCGGATTGCTCAGATTGTTATGTGGTTACATGAATGACTTACGGCTGATATATAGTGATCATGTCATGCATTTCATTAGTTTGAGAATTGAACTTCACACTGTGGTTGGAACCGTGCTGTTGTAACTCGTATGGTAGAGAGGCTTAGAGATTTGTCAACAATAGTGTCATGCATTCCAATTCTTTTTGGGAACGGACTTTGTACCATATATGAACATATAATTATTTGTATAAGTATGGAAGAGAGTGGTGGACCATAGAATCGCGTTGTATTCTAATTCATTTTGGAATCGGTCTTTGTATCATGTTTATTTGGACATGCTACTCTAGCTTAATGAGTCCAAATCCCCATCAAACGATTGTGAGCGATGAGAGATGGTGAAACCTTTAGCTCGTTAATATTATTATAGGGATAGCTAGATTGGTTGATGTTGATTCTACCGGTTTTGTTTTAAGAGATAAATGCACCGTAGGTCCATCAACCCTTTATGCTGTGTCATTCAGGTCCATTAACTCTGAAAGTGCAGATTTGAGTACATAAACTTTTTAAGTTATGCCATTTAGGTCCATATCCCTCTGTATGGGGAATAGATCCTACGTGGCAATACATGTCAGCAGCCACCATGTTCATAGGTCATGTGAGCAGCACGTGAGGGCCCTTTGCCAATTGTTTTTTTGCCGATAGCCCCCTATCCTTTCCATTCCCTCACTCTTCACCCCTTCCTCTCCCTTCCCTTCGAAGCCATTGTCCCTGGATTTCAGATGACGCCGGACGGCGGTGTCTTCCTCAAATCCCTGATGTTCCCTCAAGATTCCAGCTCCTCCGCTGCTAGATCTAGGTAAACCAGGTGATGTTCCACTGATTAGGTGCACAGAATGCCACAAGTGGCAGGTGGTTCGGCGTGTTTCGAAGCAACCCTGGAGCGACGGTGAGGTTTTCTACTGTTGTCCGGCCCACAAGGTGAGATTCAAACTGTTTTGATTCGACTGGATGTTTACATTGCAGTTTGCAGTGAAGATTGATCATTTTCTCTTGCTTGTAGCGCAAAGGCTTGGGATGTCCCTTTTTCAAATGGGGGAAGGAGTATATCGAACATGTTGAGTCTTTGAAGAAGGAGGGCATGGGATTTTCTCAGCATCTGATGCCGCAGGAGCAAGCAAGTGCCTCCAATGCCGAGCAAGTTGTGGAATCCAAAGAGCAGGAAGCAGCCGTAGGGATGAAAAAGGAAAGAGGCATTGCTGTTGATGCTGATATTGTGAAATATTTGCAAACCTTGGTTAGAACTGGTGACAACTTAGTTAGGTTGATGCAACTGACTTGTTTCATGGCTCTATGTATTACTTTGTTGCTGTTCTTGATCCTGGTTGTAATCACCATTAAGGTCTGAATGTGTACGGATGAATGACTAAGTTATGAAGTTCTATGCAATTTGAAGGTGTATTGTCTAAAATGTGAATGTGAGTTTGCAATTTTTCTCTCATCTTGAAAAATGAAAGAAATCCAAACTGATTTCAACAAGTATAGAGTGTATACAGAAAATTAACTGATAATCCAAAGATGCTTTGATATCATTCCAGTGAACCGGAGCATTGTTTTACAACCAAAGCATACATATAGTTTTGCTGGTATAGCATACCAAAAGTCATATACAAAAGATAGGAAATCTGTAGTTTGTTTTCTAATGTTTGCAACTGAAACATTCACACAGTTTTGTAATGTTTCGAGCTGAAACATTCACATAGTTATACCTAAACAAAAGGTCATCTTTCTGCTGTACAAAAGGCAGAAAAAATAAACATGCACTTAGAGTTTTTGCATGATTTACAATTTCACACACATCATTACTTGTCCTCTTCAACAAACAACACCATCAGGGTTGTTCATTGCAGCATAAACCTTATTGTGGGGTGTTTCTTACCCTTGCTCAAATGTGCCAACCACCAAGTGTATCACCTTGTGCATATTTGTTAGCATATTTTCACAAATATTTTCAAGGGTGTCAGCACTCCACTAAATTCTAAATGCAGATGCAATGAGTTAGAGCATCTAGTGGCACTTTGATAACCGTATTTCGATACGAGTTTCACTCTTCTTAATTGTATGGCTATCAAACCTAAATGTGATCACACTCGCTAAGTGTTTTGATCACCGAAACAAAATGACTCCTACCATTTATACCTTTGTCTTGAGCCTTTTGTTTCTCTTTCTCTTTTTCCAAGTCCAAGCACTTGACCATCACCATGGCATCACCATCATCATGTCATGATCTTCATTTGCTTCACCACTTAGAATGTGCTACCTATCTCATAATCACTTTGATAAACTAGGTTAGCACTTAGGGTTTTATCAATTCACCAAAAACAAACTAGAGCTTTCAACTATTCCAATGGCAATTGGGAAGATACATCCATTTGGATCAATGCCCACAGCTGTCAGTATTTGTCCACCATACTTAGTCTTAATGTGGCATCCATCCAAGCATATGATAGGCCTACATGTAGTCAAGAAACCTCTTTTACATGCATCCAATGACATGTACAATGTGCTAAATACATTGCCATCCAGGTTCAGAAAGAAGCTGCTGCCTGGGTTACTTCTTCTAAGTTTATGACCATAGTCCCAAAGTAACTTGTATTGCTCCATCTCATCTCCCATAACTTTCTTCATAGCTAATCTTTTAGCTCTAGCAAGCTTGGACCTTGATGAAGTTATGTTCCAGTCCCTCTGTACTGACCTAGCAAAATTTGTGAGGCTCATCTTCTGATCTGCCATAAATGTTTCCAGTTACTTGTCAGCAAGCCATCTTGATGTGCACCTCTTCAAAACCCACTTTTTCTGGCATGTGTGTTGTCCATTGAATTGCTTGATAATCATACCAGGGGATCTGCTATCCACTGAAGCATACAACTTCCAAGGACAACCTTCTGCACAAT